AGATTCTGGGTAATATTTTCCTGAGGAGAAAAGCCAATTACCCAAAGCTAGGACTAATTAACTACTGTAGAGGGACAGGTCTCAGAAGAAAATACCTGACTCTCCCTAGGGCCTGCTTAATGAGATGATGGCTCTGCAGGGAGCCTTGAACAATTTCAAGGCCTGACATAGACCCTGCTGCTCAGCACACATTAATCTGGTTCCCAACATCACCTCTGCCTAATTCTGACTCATAGACCACTGGTCTCCTATGTTGTCAAAACCAGCAGATGAAATGAGAAGGAAGCTAGTGATAGTTTGGTTTTGTTATTATTATGAGTGTTCTTCTTTTTCTCTCTTGTTAACAAAATGTTGTTTTAGGCACCAGAAATGCATAGGGAATTTTAAGAAAGCTTTGATCTAGTAGAGGCTGTCATGGATGTAAGCAAGTGGTCCAATAGAATATGATCGACTTACTAACCCAACACATATTTACTGAGCACTTACTGTGTGTGGACCACTATTGCTGGGGAGACAGAGTGAACGGAGCATGTACACATGATGCCTACCTTCCTGCAGCCTGGGATTAGTGGGAATTCCAGATAACACTTAAGAGGACAGAGGGTGATGATGGGATGCTCTGGGAGTGAGGAGGAGAAACACTCCACTGTGGGGTGAGGTGGAAACTGGGACTGGAATGATGGGTAGGAATCATGCAGCCAAAAGAACCAGAGATAGGTGAGCAGGCATGTTACAGGCTGGGGCAATGGTACATATAAATCCTGAGTTTGAGGAACTGTTTAAGGTCAAGTTGGAACCCGGAGTTCAAAGAGAAGAGTAGGGAGAGGTGGGGAGGAAGGTGGGAGACAAACTTTTGGCTCTACAAGGATTGGGGAAGCCCTGCAGGGTCTCCTATGAGAGAGATGGGTTTCCATTTTCTTTTCAGGCCCTGACTTTTCAGGCACTGCTTAGGATGGAAAAGAGAAGGCAAGAATTGGAGCAGGAAGAACAATGGAGAAGATATTGCTGACATCCTGGGAGAAGGTGATGGTGGCCAGGACTAGGGTGGGAGAAGGGGATGGATTGAGGACGGGACTTTGGTTTTACAAATAGGCAGTAACATTTCTCTGTGAAGTTGGAATTTATTCCTTGTGGCAAAACCAGTGATTTTGTTCTTTGCAAAAGAAGGTTTATGTCCCTTCTGACTGACGGTGTGTGGGCAGAAGGGACATAAACCTTTGCCAGGATTAGATGTAAAACATCCCACCCAACCCTCTAGTTTTCTGGATGGTGGTTTTTATAGGATGGAAAGAACTCAGACTTCTGAATCCACATTTGCAAGACAGTCCCCAAGGATGACTTCCCAACTTGTCAAGAAGCCAACCCATATACTGTTAAGTCACCGAGATTCTGAGGTTGTTAATTAGAGAGACTGACATCCATTAGCAGGCCTACCACAAACCAGCTGAGCTCATATTTTTCTGACCTCTTCTGATGCATGTCAATGTTTCCAACTCTCTTCAATGAGGCAAGAGTGAAGTACCACATTGTAGACACAGATGGAAAAGGAGTTACTGAGTGTTGATAAGCTGAGGAGGGAGGCAAAGATGGTCCTACAGACTAATATGTGGGGTCCTAGCAACAAATACACCTACACAGCTCCTGGAAAGCACTGAGAAATAATGATCAGATAAGTGATAACTGACAAATGATAAAATGAAGAATGATTAGATATGTTATAAATGATAAAGATAAAAATAAAAATTAATTTGTTTAGTGTCAAGGACTGAACTTAAATCCCCAACTGAAGCCTTGGGTGAGTAACTTTGCGGAGGCCACACAGAACCTGAGCCCAGGCATCCTGACAGGAGTCTGTCCTTTTAGTCACCACACAAAGACAAGGTCACATTGACAGAGGACGCACATGCACACACACACGCATGAGACAGAGACAGAGAGAGTCTCAACTGCCCTTGTCTGCAGCCTGAACACCATTCCATTTTCAGGAAAGAGATGGCCCGATTGCAGTGGTGACAAGAACAGAGCATTACTTTTAACAAAGACTTACTTTAATGAAATTCTCAGCTGGCTCAGGACATTTTGTTTCTCTCTAGATAACTTTGCGATGCTATCATTTTTGCATACCTTGTTTATTTCACGTGCTCCGCCTCTCCCTGGTCCATAAAGGAGGCTCCGCTGGTTTGTTTGATGTTCCTTAGATACAAATGATCCTTCCATGAATAACAAATAGAATGCACCCATTAGAGGAATTTATGATTCCCGTTTTGTTCTTCTGTCTAAATGGGATCCTTCCCCAGAGGGCACTTCTTCCCAGTTGACACCGGAAAGTTCTTCCTTGCAAATATATTGTGTGCTGAGCGAATGGCTTTGTATTTCCAATCTTGGATGCCAAGATTGACTGGCCTCTGACTGGCCTCTAAAGTGGGGTCACCACAGTGGAGAGGTCATTGACAATGAGAACCTCTGTCCTGGCATATGTGTAGGTGTAGAGAGAAGTTCCTGGGGTAAGGATGGAGAAGAGTTTCCTGGTTGGACATGTCCCTAAAGCTCCTCTCTTCAAACACCCTTCAGTTTCAGTATCATTGCTGCAATGCTGACAGGTGTCATACACCATTTTATGATGTGCACAGATTTTGTGGGTCAAGAATTTAGATGGGACCCATTGGTGGTAGTCTCTGCTCCACGATGTCAGGGGTTGAGGTTGGGGGAGAAATTATCCTTCAATGAATTTGGGCTAGAATCATCAGGAGCTGCCATCATGCTTACCTGAGGCTGATGCTAGCAGTCTTATCCCGAGGTGCTCTCTCCGTGTAGGTTGTCTGGGAATTGTACATGGTAGAGAAGCTGTAATCACCCCAAGAAATCAAGGCAGAGCACACAGAACTTTGGTGATATTCTTGGGGTCACATAATGTAAGTTCTGCCATCTTTCATTGACAGTCTGTCACAAAAGTCTGCCTATGTTCTAGGGGAGGAGACCTTGACTCTGCCACTTGGTAGGAAAGCAGAAAGGTTCTAGAAGAGGATGTGGTATAGCAGACAGCCTTGCAGCATCTCTGGGAAGTATAAATCATCACACCGTTTCACATGTGACAACTAAGCATTCATGCAGCTCTATTCTGCTGATGGGGACTCACTGCCTGGACCAGTGAAGTTCTTTGATTGCAAACCACAGAGGTGAATTCTGTATAACTAAAGCCACAGGGGTTGCACTGGCACATGGAATACTGAAGACTTGGAATAAGAAAGAGTCAGTCTCAGAGGCAGAAGAGTGGGATCTGGCTAGGCAATGTCTTCCAGGTAATGAATCCCAGCCGATGGCTGAATCTTTAATCACCCTATTTACAGTTTAGATGATATGGGACAAGAGCTGAACAGCTTTGCTTGTGCTTTGAAGTCATCTCCTTACCACTTGCTTAACCCTAAACAAGTTACTTAACTGCTCTGAAGCAGTAAGTAAATGGGGATGCTGAGGGTAGGTACTTCCTAGATTATGCAAAATTAAATAAAATGAGTTTACAAAGTGCTTAGTCCTTAATCCAGTATATGGTAAATTGTTAATCAATGTTAGTGAAAATGACTTTTCTTGTTACTGTTACAACTAACTGTTGTTCTGGTTGGCATGTTCCTGGTCTAACACAGGGCCAGATGCATAGTGAACACTCAGTAAATAGTATTGAATGAAGAGTGAAAAATAAACGAATGGCTTCTACTCTCTCACAAGTTACTTTTTTTTTTGCAAACAAGTTTCTTGACACAACCTTTAGAGAGTTCTTATAACTAGATTAACATAAGAAAAAGTAATAAGCAAGAGTCTCAGTAAATTTAAATGTTTGATCCATTTTCCTTAGTGACAGTTTCCTAACTCTCCAGTCCTTTTTCTTTTTTAAATATTTATTTATTTATGCATACAAGAACTGGGGTATAGGCCAGAGGTGGGGGTGAAAGATTCACCAGAAACAGAGTGAGGAGCAGAGCAGTAGGATCGACTGAAATACACTGCTGAGGGGAGTAGCAGGCGGGTCAGGAGAGGTCTGCTGTGCCATGGGGGTCAGCTCCCTGACTGGGGATTGAACTCCTGCTGTAGAGGCTGCGGCGAGCCTCATGGTGCTGAGACTTAACCCCTTGCACCACCAGGGAGGCCCTCTTCAGTCCTCTTTCTGAAAAATAATCCCCTGCTCCTTGCATGAGTCCTTCGCAATGCTGCAGACAGTAAATAAAGAACTCCACTCCAAGGAGGTGAATAATATGCCAACGGGATTGCATTCCACATCAGTTCTTGTGTCATATTTGATTAATTTTATATCTAGCATCATTACATTTCATCCCTCATTTCAAAGGTGTCCTTCAGATGGGACACCGGAGGAGGCAGAGAAGGAACACCTACCAGAGGATGGACTGATGTGAGGAATTCATGAGGGCCCTAAAAAAATGTGACTGAGACTTAACACTCTGAGATTTCATTGCTGATCCTGCAAGGAGCTCATGGCTTATGGTGAGGGCGCCACTCCACACACAGAGTGGTGGGCAAATGCTGACCCACTTCGCTGTGGTACCTCTACTGGAGCTGACCCACAGGTAAGTCTGTAGGCAAGCTGTCTGGAGCTCTGTGCTATCTCTGTGGGTTACACATAGCTGAAGGTGGCAAAGCCAGCTCCCTGGCCTAGCAGCTGCTTAAATGGGTCGGATAAGATTTAACTCTATACACCTAAATTCTGGGACCTTCCTTGTCAGGACTGATGATAGCCTCCTTCCCACTCCTTCCCCACACTTTCTCAGCTCAGCACTGAGGAGTCATCTAGCATTTTTAAAATTTAGTTCTACCATTACTAATTGAGTAGTTTAGCAGGTTCTTCTGGTGTTTGTGTCATGTGTGTCCCATTGGTCCACTTCTAATTTCAGTAGTGGCTGTAGAGACATGTGACCAGGAGGGGGCCTTAGCCAGGATCTTGGTTCTAGATTACACCTTGATCGTGGTCACAGACTGAGTTCAGCACTCACCACAGCTCTCAGCCACACACTCAGCCTTGAGCACAGTCACAAACTGAGCCCTGATCATGGTCATAGACTGAGCCCTGATCATGGTCACAGACTGAGCCTTGATCATGGTCACAGACTGAGCCCTGATCATGGTCACAGACTGAGCCCTGATCATGGTCACAGACTGAGCCCTGATCATGGTCACAGACTGAGCCTTGATCGTGGTCATAGATTGGACCCTGATCACGGTCACAGACTGGGCACTCAACATGGACACAGATTGAGCCCTCATCATTGTCACAAACTGTGCCCCAACTCTCATTCTGATCACAGAGAATAAGTGAAATAAAGGTTAGGGGTATTTTAGCACAGGTCAGCCTCACTTCTGTAGTCACAGATGGGAATCATGCCTTCCCAGGGGAATATGAGGAATGGAGGAATCAAGGTGAAGGTATCCTGTTTATAACCAAAGACAGTGCCAATTATGACAGCTTACATTCTCGGGTTTCTAACTCAGGAAAAGCCACTGCAGTACAGGCAGAATCTAATGAGGTTTTCAGAACTGTATTTTGTTTCCTTTAGCTTATAGAGGTTATTGTTTTTTTGCAGGAAAATTATCTGGCAATTAAATTTCTGAAAAAGTGTTTCAAACTCCTACAAGCTGTGTCTCATTGTTTTGCAAGATTGGGTACACAATGTAATAATTCCATCTGCAAATTAATTTTCTTTCACTCACAGCTTCTGATGTAACTGCAATGTCATTCATTTGGTTATTCATTCACCCCATTATTCAACGCTCCTTTACCATGTACCTAACATGAACTGGGATATCTGGAGAAGACAGAGGTGGGTCATTCATAGCCTGCCCCTGAGGCAGCTCCTGGTTTAGAAAGAAGGCAGAATTTTCTCAGAAGTAAAGTCACAGGAGGTAGAATGTGTCTATTCCATTAGAAGGAGATAGATGGAGCTTTGAATTTCCATATGGAGGGAGGAGAACACCTGACTTTATTTCACTGAAAAAATAATAGCAAGAAAGCTGCAGGCGACTAGAACTGGTATTTATTGAGCACCTGTTGTATGCTGGAAATTGTGATGGATGTTTTGCCTCTGGGCTCAAGTCCTTGGAACAGCCCTGGTGGGTTTACCATTTACTGGTGGGACATCTAAGACTCAGACTTGGGGGGTAGGTAGTTTGTTTGATAACGTATATCTAGGGAGTGTCAGGATCTGTGCTGGAGCTAAGAACTGTCCAGTTAAAACGTTTTCCACTAATGACACTTTCCCAGAGGATGGCTTCTTTGCCATATAGCTTGAAGCCTTTTTGCTCTCCATTAGTACAAACAAAGGGGCTGAGATCTGAGAGGGAACTATTCCAAGACTGAAGTGGCATCAAATGCATTCAAAGGGAGGGGCTGCTGGCATGGGGGAGATTCAAAGGGTACACAGCTGTGTACCCTTTCTTAGTGTATCGGCTATGTGCATATTTGGGGCTTTACATAGCCCCCATTTCTTCATGTACTCCTCACACTCTGTGAGGTAGGCATAACCATCTGAATTTTGTGGTTGTTGTTAAGGAAATAGACGCTTAGAAATATTAAATGACCCTTCCAATCTCACACAACTGATTGACCATGTCGGAGTCATGGTTCAAGCTGAGGTATGTGTGGGTCTGAAGACTGATGCTTTTCACCTTCCCATACTGCCTCTTAGGTGGTGTGGTGTATAGTCAACCCCGTATGTGAGGGTCTGTTATATCTGCACAAATTAAGTTGTTCTTTGGAGTCTCTCTCTTTTTGCATAGTAGAACTGGGTTGTAAGCAGGAGGTTAGGGGTTGGTGAGAGGACTTACCAGAGATAGAGTGGGAAGCAGAATAGGTAGATCTACTAAAATACACTGCTGAGGGGAGCAGTGAGGTGGGACAGGAGAGATCTGCTGTGCCATGTGGATCACCTTCCTGGCTGGGGATTGAACTCAGGCTGTTGAGATAATAGCTCTGACACTTAAGCCCTAGGTTACCAGAAAGGCCCTGTTCTTCAAAGTTTCTATGGTTAGTCATAAAGAAGGAGGGATAATTCCAGGGTTGGAACTCCAGGGTTGGTATGAAGATTAGTTTAAGTTGAAGATATTTGAGATTCAGCTGATGCAGGAAGAAAGGCTTTCTTGGAGCTTCCTTTATTTGATGAAAAGCAACCACTTCTGGGACATAAGGCTACTATCAACATCCTCTTGGGGGAATTATATCACCTGAAGAAGACCACTCAAATCGGTATGACAAACATTATCTGAAATCTCCTTACCTCTCTTGCATTGTCCTCAGAAACTCATTTGTCTTTCCTAGAAAAAGCTATTTGTACTTCCCATAAGAACTTTTTCTCTCCTTTCTATTTCCTGCACTGAGTTTAGTATATAAGTCCTAAATTTAAATACCCCCTGTGATTGCAAACATTGAACATCTACTAGGAGCATTGCACATGTAAATAAAATCTTTTCATGGCTAATTTGCATCCTGTGAAATTTGTAGCCACCCCCCCCCC